GATAGATAGATAGATAGATAGATAGATAGATAGATAGATAGATAGATGATAGAGAGATAGAGAGATAACATAAGAATTAACAAATCAAAGATATCAAATAATAAATACAATCAACATAAACTACAAAAACATCATAAAATGATGTTGGAACCATCAAATCATATTGAAATTCACAATGTTTTAATTTATTGGAGTGTTTAAGCACTCCAGCATCTTATCAATTTCCCTGAAACAAAAAATACAGCTTATATAATCATTTGCTCTGTGTTTTCCCCACAAACCTTACAGTTTGAAGAACCTTACTATTAACTGTTACATCAGTCTGGTATATAATATATCATATGTCCCATTAACTATGCATGTGTGGACTGCAGTTCAAAAACTTACACTACAGCATGCATTTGGACTTTTTTTTTTAACATTAGAGGCATTGCATACAATACCATGTAGCTATACAACTGTATACATAGCCAAATATGTAGCCTGTGTTGTTAATGCTAGTAAACTTCATAAAATATACACTGTTTTAAGACTGTCTTCTTTAAGGTTATTTTAAAGTGCTTAAGGATTTGACCAGAGAACAGAATTACAGAATAATCATTAATGAATCCACCAAGATTTCAAAGGTTGAGGAATCCATGCCATTATACATTCTGTACACTAATGTACTGTTGACTTTCTTGGTCCAACATGCTCTTGTTTCCTCACTCTTATAAGGAGAAAAATGAGGCAGAAAATTTTAACCATTCAGTAGGAGTCATGAAAATCATGGATACATACCTGTTGTACTTGTGAGTGATGTGTGGTGGCTGTAGGATTCTTAACTTCGCTCAGACCGTGGCAGTGTAACTATAGTATTTCCAAAACACCGAATCAGAGAAAATCCTCAGATTATTACCGAGTAATCCAGTTTCACAAACACTCTTATTTCCTGGATTGCTAAGGTTGCAGTTTTATTCCTGTTTATTCTGTGACATAGCAGTTCTTTTGAGTTAAAACATGACCTGGAATAACCAAAAATTCCTTTTGGAACTGGGCCAATCTACTTGAGATAATTTTACAAAGATTTGTTTGTGACAGCCAATTAGAGAAACTATTATCACAACACTATTAATTCAGAAAAGATTATTTTTAAACTAAGAGTTCTAAAGTTTTAAGCAGTTAACAATAGGATCCTGTATATGTTTTTGTGCGTGATAAATATGCTTAAAGCTTCAGACTACAGCCTAATTGGATTATACTCCACATTTTAATCTCATGCAAATTCAGAAATTCCTGGACTTCCGGTTTGAGCTTCTTTGGCAACAGACCGAAATCTGTGATTGTGTGCAATTTTGATCTGTGCTTGCTGCTGGAGCGCCCCGAGCTGGCTGGTTTCGGGGCTAAGCCACCCCGTAGAGGTGGTGAAGAGGGGGGAGACTGCCAGCAGGGTCGAGGAGAGTTGCATCTCTCCTCCCCAGCTGGCCATTACTCCCTTTCCTGAAGGCGGTTGCAGCGGTGGTCAGAAATGGCCACCTCAAAGAAGAACTCGATCGGAAAAGAATGTGCAGGAGGAAGATAAGAAGAGAAAGTTTTGGCTGACTGGGTTGAACTGGAAAAACAACAATACAAGGTATCCTGGAATTTGAATTATAAAGAACAACATTGTTCCCAAAGAAGACTTTGAAGCGGCAAATGAGAGAGGGAAGGGAAAGGATTCAGGTTTTTTTTTTGTTTTCTTTCCTATATTGACAACTAAGAGATTTAAGTAAGAAACTGACAAAAATCCACTTTGACATTAACAGGTATTTAAGCTGAAAATAAAATGTCAAAGGGATAATAAAGATTTCTGGATTCTCAAAAACTTTTAAAAGAAGGAAAAAACCAAAAGGGTGGGATCTGGAAAAATGGAGGAGACCACCTGGAAGTGAAAGGAATTAACAGTGAAACTTTAACAAGATTCCTAAAAGATACATTTTAACTGAAACTTTGTAACAAGATAAGAGAAGAAAAAGTGGAAAAAAGAAGCAAGAAGAAACAGCTTTGGATTATTTGGATTACTTGGTGATTTTTGGATTTTTGGCTATTGGATCTAAAGGACTAAAATTAATCGGGTGGTTTTTAAAAAGTTTTTAAAATGGTATCACTCTTGGAAGAATTGAGAATGGAACTTAAAAAACAGAAAGAAGATGCACAAGAAGGAAGAGGTTCTTTTGGCTTCGTATTTCACTTTTTAGAAATGGAGATCCTGAACTATGAGACACAACAAGAAATGCCTGTAGAACAAAAAGGGCGGGACAAAGAAGAAGCCATCTTCAATGACCAAGTATTTCTATGTGGGGAAAAGAAAGGAAAGGGGGGAAAGAGAGTGAAAAATTTAAGATCTGAAAAAACAACCCCAAAAAAGAATAGTTTGAAAAGTAATTACAACATTAGGAAGAAACAGAAGAGAGGATTACAGAAGATAGAATCAGAATTAGAGAGAGAAGGGGTCAAAAAGGGAAGGGAGAAGAAGAGAGGGAAGAGGGAAAGAAATTATAAAGGACAGAAACAGGACATAGAGAAACAGGGAAAACGTACAAGGATTAAGGGTATAAGCCTATTTAGAAGACACAGAGACAACAGGTGAAAACTTAATTGAAAGGGGGATTCTGCAAGGGTACATAAGATAGTATTGTTATATTAGAAATAGAAATGAACTTTGAAAATATGAAACAAGTGTGATTAAAATGATAGATAAAATACTCATTGTAATGTAATGTAATGTTTAATAAATAAATGAAATAAAGAAAATGAGAGAATGAAATTAGGAAAGGAGGGGAACATTTTAATTATTATAAATATGTTATAAAAATTAAGTGAAGAGGAATATGAAAGAAACATGAAAAAATTATGGAAATATTATAAGTGTTCCTAAAAGTATGATACCCTATTGAAAAGAAATGTTAAAGATGTCAAAGATTATAACTAACATTAATAATAGAACTGAATTGGAATAGAATAAGTATTTTATTTATTATTGTTTATACACACACACACACACACACACACACACTTTAAGAACTTAGTGCATATTTTAAGAATGTACCAAGCAGAATTTGATTGGAAGTTATGTGTTATATTGAATGTTATAATTGTAAAGGCATAAATTGAAGTTTAAATAAGAGTTGAATGGATAAACATTAAAAGATACAAAGGTGTCATACTCCAATTAGTAACTACAGGGAAAATTTTTGTTTAATGAGAAAAGAAAATATGAAATTGAAACAGGACAGACAAAAGTATAAATATAATGACTAGAAAGATATTGAAACTTAGAAAAAGATATATGTAATTGGATTTAGAAAGGAATGAGATAAT